TTCCACCTTTGCTAGACCCAAATTAGTGTGTCGGTTAACCACACACGCTCCACTAACGTATTGGCAAGGGTACAAAGTGTAATTTCATGGAATAGCATCATTTTCACATTTTTCCAAGAGTAACTAAGATTGGGAATTTAATAAAAACATTTAGTTACTTTATTAATCATTATACTTTTAATAAAGAATTAGTTTCCATATCCTACCCGTTCGGCTAACGACCCTCCACCAATCAAGGAAGCGGTGGGTGAGAGTGGACACCCATTAAACTGCCATTTTATAGGCAACAACCTTATACCCCCCTTATAGATCGGCTTCGTGAATGAGGCCTACTAACGGTAAGACTAGCATTTATCTTATACATATATAATTATTATTCTTATAATATTATAAGAGTATAAGGGTTGAATTTTAAACTTGTAAAATTCTAGGGTTTAGAATTTAAATATTTCAAAATTAAACTTTTAATAAAAAATTTAAATTCCAAAACTTGAGGGAAAGTTTTGAAACATTTCAAAACTACCTAGATCAAAATTCAAATAATATAATTAAACAATTAATTATTATCTAATTTTGACCTAATCCAATTTCATTCAAGATAATTGATCAAATAATTCAAATAATTAAAGTTTATCAAATAAGGCAATAATTATCAAATTAATTGATAAATATCTTTTATTTTGACAAGGATGATCACATGGAATCAATAAAAATCGGATTTTATTAATTAAAAACAATTTTGGTAATTATCCTAAGTCAAAATAAGCCAAAATCCCAAGAATCTATCTGTCTGACACTCCGACTCGCCGAGTTCATCTGACTCGTCGAGTTCATCTTGGGACTCGACGAGTCTGTCAGGCAGAACGTAGAAAAATCGATTTTAAGCAATGAATAAACACACAATGCATCAAATACAATAGAAACCAAGCAAGGCTCTAATACCGCTGATGGGTTTTGAGCAATACAACAATCTTATGGTGCACATGCAAAACCCTAAAGCTTTGGATCTAGGTTTCTCTATTGTACATGCAAGTTATCCAAAGCTTATAAACCCTAGATCTAGCATATCAAAATCGAAATAACATATAAAACAGGTTTAGATGATTACCTTTTGATTGTTGCAAGAATCTTCAAGCTTTGAGAGCCTAGTATCACAAGTGTAATACCTCTAATCGATCCAAACACCAAGGCAAGAAGGATAATCTTAGAGAGAGGATATAGAGGCAGAAAATCAGCTCTAAGGACTTTATGGTTCTTCTGGTGGCCGATTTTGGATGCCCTAGGGGTCCTAAAATAGCTGAGCTGCTAGGGTTTCAGTCAAAACCCTAAGTGGATGACTTAGACCTTAAGCAGTCCAATGGAACATTAAGGAATAAGGCTTGGATGATTTCAAGGTGGGCTTCCACCCTAATTTCGTCCACCCCCTTAATCCATAAGATCCACAGCCCAAAATCAATTATCTTATAATTGCAGTTCCAGTCCCCTAAGTTCAATTAATCTCTTTTGATTACAGAATTAATTTCCTAATTAATTCTTGACCAATATTAATTAAGTAATATGATTTCTCTTTTAATATATTATTCTTATAATATATTAATAAACCATAATAATCTCTTTCTCCATTAATCATCCATCCAAGTTGCTTTGGTGAAGGCAACCCAAAAGGACCATGCTACAACCGGGTCAAGTACATACCAAATATAGTTATGGACTTAGACACTAATCCAACAATAGAAGGTCTGGGATTCAATAAAAAAATCGATACCCACCGTAGGTCTCTTGGTCTCGTCTGGACAGAGCAATAGCTCTTGCCACTGAAATCGAAATGGCAAGGTCGAGTTGACTTACCGACGGCAGCAGGGCGGCAATGGCTTGGTCGGAGATAGTCGACGGCAGCAGCAGCAGACAACAGTGGTGGTGGTGGTTAGAATTGATTGACGGTAGCAATAGCAGGCAGCAGCGGTGGTGGGTTTGCTCTGATTAACAGAAACAAAGGGGCAATGGGGCGGTGGTTCCAGTAGCAGCAACACCACCCTTTGTGGTGGTGATGTTTCCCGGTGGTGGGCCATGACTGGTAGGAGGTGTTGGGTGGCGTTTGGTGGTCACATCAACAGCAATGGAGGTGGTGATTGATTGTCGGAACAAGAAAGGGAAAAGGGGGTTGTTGGTTGTCATATGGTGGCCATTGGTGGTGATTCACGGTGGTCACCGGTGGTTCTCTGGCAGAGTAGTGATGGTGTTTCAAAATTAAGAGTCTTGGGATGTGAATTGGTGGGGATTGAAAGGGTAATGCCCTCTATTTAACACCATTGACAATATCATAAGAAGATGAAGTTGGTGATAGTCCAAAAAGAAGAAAACAAGTGCTTTCACCAATTGTGCAAGATGACATTTGATTAGGAAGAAGGAGTTTTTGGTATATACCTTCAATTACAAAGTTTGACTTTCCATACAAAACTCCAAACATTTAGAGTATAAAGAGAAGGAAAGGGACGTGCGAGGAAAACAGAAGGGGTTTATATATATATATATATATATATATATAATATATATATATATATATATATATATATATATATATATATATATCAAGTAAGGAGAGGGAGTGTGGCTGGACTTCCCTTTGACCAATCCAAGCCCAAAAATGCTTAATTTTCATTTAATCTCAATTAAGCCTTAAAAACAGTTCTCGTTTCGCATGTCCAATTCTCGACGTCGAATAATTTTTCCGATGTCGGCGAATGATAGAGTTTAATTCAAGGATTCTAAAAACCTGAATGGATAAATTTTTCGAGTTGAAGAACTCTGAGAATTTACGTTTAAAGTTTTGCGTCTAATTGGTTTGAAACATTTGATTTTTTGACTTTTACAAATATTTCTATAAAAAAATATCGAGTATGAAATCACAGATTAGACCATAATCTGAGTCCAAAAACGCTCTCGTAATTTCCATCTGAGGTGTGCAAGTGCCTCAACGGATCGAAACGGTTTATGAAATCAGGTAAAACCAGCGTTTTGTCGGTTTGGTTTCTTAAAACAGTCGTAACTTTAGCATACGAACTCCGTTTTGGGCGTTCTTTATATTTTCGGACTTAGGTAAATATGAACTACGAGACTAGAGTATTTTCTTTACTCACAGACACTAAATTCAAAATTTCAGTTTTTCAGACGTTAACTAGGGTTACAGATTGTGCTTTATGACTCGATTAAGATTTTCCACAACGGAAAGTAAGATACCATTTGATAACTTATTGTAATTAAAATGACACTACATTTTAGCCAAAATATGCATTAAAATTCAATAGGTCAAGTTACAGAAAGGTTTGCGGTGAACCGACTGTTTACAGATTTAGCTCTAAATTTCAGGATGTCACAAGAAACTATAAAGTTGGCAACTTTATGGGTTATAAGGGTCTTTAGAATGTCAGAAAGTTCAGATCTAGTGAATGGTTGAGTTTTGGAACCTTGCATGAAAGTTGGATGATCTTTTCTTCTATTTTGGTCTCAAATGAGATCTAGGCATGTATTGGACATACATGTCCGTAAAGAATCGACCTTTAAGTGTAATATGAAGTAATAAGACCTTATGGAAAGTTAGAGTAAAAGGATTAATGGATTAAGGACTTAAAATCTTGAATTTTTTGCTTTAGTTATACTCATGACGTGATACATAAGATCTCACGATGTGAGGATTGAATGACCCCGTTTTCTGTTAAGCTTCTTGGAGCTCACGACGTGAGAGAAGGCGACTCTCGTCGTGATGTCAACTATAGTGACTTTTCATGTCTGAGTTGGCTGAGTTGAGTCGATATGAGTTGGAATTGGACCGAGTGATGTGAAATCCCGAAATTTAGGTCAAAGACTTTGAACGGTCAAATTCATAGTAAATCTCTTTGTACTTTGATTCATTGAGTTTTAGTGCATCTTACGAGAAATAAATGAGTTCATTGCAACTATTATAAGATATCAGATGGTATCTTACATCCAAATGTGCAAACTGACAAACAAATCAAACAGCTCAAACTGCAAACATAGTTAATGCGTCTGAAAAACTAAAATTCCGTATTAAGCAGTTCTGAGGAAAACAAATATTCTAGTCTCGTAGTACATGTTTCCCTTTTTCTGAAAATATAAAGAATGCCCAAAATGGAGTTCGTATGCAAAAGATACGACCGTTTTAAAAATTCAAAACCAATATAATACTGATTTTCTTAAAACCGCTAAAACCGTTTATATCCGTTGAGGGACTTGCACACCTCAGATGAAAATTTCGAGAACGTTTTTGGATTCAGGTCATATTCTATTATTTAAATTCATAATTGAAATATTTTTAGTAAAAGTATTTATAAAAGTCAAAAAAAAAAAAATCAGACGTTTTGAATTAGTAAATCGTGAAACCTTAAACTATTGATTTCGATATGATTTCAATTATTGGCGGTATATTCTAGAAATAATATACTATTATCCAATCCAACAAATGTGAGTTTTAACAATAAAGATAACATTACATTTTTATTTTTATTTTCAAGTATAACCATTTATATTGATACATAACTAATAACTTGTGATCAACTATAAATAAGTTATTATAGATTTTATAAATCATACAATAATTTATGTATCAATAAACTTTAAATGATCACAATATGTATATATTATATAATAAAAAATCGTAACAACACTAAAAATATGCATATTTGTATGAATATGTCATGTATCATTTTCCAAATACTAATTACTAGCATATGACAATTTGGACACTTATTATATACAAATCTCAAATTCTTTATATATATTACAAACATACATGGAAAACTTTTAATACTAGAGTTTATAAATATTTTGTATGTATTTTAGCCTTAAAATGTCTCAAACAAATACACACACAATATTATCAAATCTAGAAGTGTATATAAAATCCATTAGAAATTTACATCAATACATATACAAAATGCATACTTATCGACCTATGCAATGGTTACAAAATTAAGCAACAATACACCTACATAACTTGCTATCTTGAACTCAAAGTACATGAAGTATGATGAGAAAATGTCCAAAATCTTTGATTGCTTGCACTCTTTCTTCACCCAATTTTACACACAAACTCCCTTTCCATTAACAGTCAAATACTGTACAATCAAAATCATGTCCTTCATATCTAAAAACTTGATATGCTCAGATTTTCTTTGATCTTCAATAACAAATAAAAGTACATTGAAATCTATCCAAAAAAAAAATGATATCTTATTTTTCCTTCCCGTTTATGGATCTTCAGCCAAAGAAGAAGGACAAGCGGCTGTACATCCCTCCTCATCCCCCTCATTCTTTTTCATGTCAAATGAAGCAACCACAAAAACCCACTGATTCCTTCTTCTTTACTTGTCAAACACCAAACGAAGAATCCTTTTACCCTGCATCGATTTCTATCAAAACAAGAACAAAGGAGAAAACTGGAAGCAACAAGGAGGCTGTCGGAGCAGCCCCCATCCACGCACCTGTCACCACCGATCGCAAATAGCCCCATCGCACCACCCTTCTTCGCTTGGACTGTCGTCGGATGCCTCACCGGAGACGCTATTCGTCGTTTTATTGCTCCATTGGAGCAGCTTGCCTCGCATCTCACTCCATCACTGCACCCACCGAGACCGACGAAACCCTCTTCTGGCCTCACCCCTCGCGCCTCCCCTTTTCCTCCCATCGACCAACGACCTCCGACGCCTCGCCTGCTCGGCCGTTGCTGTTTGCATCGCTTCTTCGGACCCATTTCCACTCCCTTCCTTCTCACCTCGCTGCTTCTCCCTTCCTCCCCTTCGGCCTCGTCGAACCCCGGAGATGATCTCTCCTCGCGGATCGAACGGCGAATCATCGTGGTCCCTCTTGCCGCCGTCGTTCATGTCTATGTCATTCCTTCGTGTTCGTCTTCCTTTCATTTGCCCTATCAACAAAAAGAAACGGGCATAAAAAGCCCTAATTTCATTAAGTTTGGACCATTAAACACAATCAGTCCCTCCATGAAATTTCTTTATATAAAAGCCCTAAATCATCTTGATTTTACAAAATAAACACATTAAACCCCTCTACTGAACCCTTTTATTCAAAACGAGTCCTTTCCCCAAAACTTTGGTGTATTTTAAACAAAACGGCCCCTCCCATGGAAATTTCTTAACAATATCAGTCCAAGACTCAAACATTAATTCAATTTAAACCATTCCTGTCCCTCCTTTTATTTATTTCAACCAAAGTGGGCCTATATACTTTGTATATACAAACAAATTATCCTTTTATGCGAAATTACAATAATTCTAATTTATAAAAATGATATTTAACAATGTAACATATCGTTACAAATAAACTAGTATAAACTTTTCGTATACGTATTATGGTTATTTTATCGTGAAATAATTAGTCCACACAACATATATTACATGATACAAAAATATATGATTTTTATGGGACATTGTATATTATAACAAGCACGTTATAAAACTGTGTAGTAAATACATAAATTGTATACATGTACATATGTTCATTATGTTGAAACATACATCTTTATAAAAGTGAGTACATTACTCTTTTACATACCTACCAAGCAAACTCGGCTTTTATAAACTTTATACAATGAAATTCATTATGCCTAGTGACTTAATCACAATTAAGTTAGGGTTGAGAGCTATTCACACACTTTGGTTAAGGGATTTTTAGTGAGACAATATTCATCAGTTGAGTCTAAACACTTAGCATACCCACACTACTATAACTGTAAATCTTCGGAGCGAGATAAATATGTATAGATCTAGACGGGGTTGACATCTCCGCCTGAGGTTGTTACCTACAACCTTGACTGATCAATCGAAGCGGATGATAATTGTTTACAATTGTTACTACAAGGTCCAATGAAGCGTTGTAGGGGGTACATTCAGTCACATAGCTCGGTTATAGGACTAACTATAAACATTAACTGGAATCTCTCTCCCTCTCACTACAAACCATGGGCTTGGTTGCTTTCAAAACTATTTTAAATATGGAATTACTTATGTAACAATACAGTTTGGTTTCCAAGTATATTCAAGGATTCTTACAAACACAGTTTTAAGTATGGATTTACTTATTCAAAGATATATTTTGGTTTTCAAGATTCTTTACAAACACGGTTTTAAGTATAGATTTACTTATACAAAGATACATTTTGGCTTTCAAAGACTCTTTGCAAACACCATTTTAACTATTGTTATACATACAAATATAATATTTTTTAGACTTTTTAAAAGTATTACTGTTGTTAGCAGAAAACCTGTAACTCTCACCAACCTTGTGTTGACCCTCAAAATTACATGTATTCTCAGGAAATCACTAAACATACATTCAAGACGGATAGGGTTCCAGGTAACCTAATTTACTTGTTGTGTATTATATGCCTATTTGTTAAGGCAGTTCATGTAGTATTATTATATGTAAAAACCTTGTATTGAAATATCAAGATGGAACACGAATGCTATTTTGTTTATTGTTGTACATGTGTTATATATTCAGTTTACGTGCAATCCATGAACTTAGTCGCACAACCCGGTGTGTTCTGCTGCCTCGGACGGGGGTGTGACAAGTGAGCTCTCATGATGTAACCAAACGCTGGTCACGACGTGAGGCTGAATAATTGAACTCATGAGTTGTTGACTTTAACCATTGACTTTTAGCTCGGGTTGACTTTTGGTCAATCTCTATTTTTCTTAGAATGTAAACTTAGGGCTTGCTATGTGTGGATTGTTAGGAAGTGTTTAGCACCCATATTTTGGTGGTGAAAGTTGTTAGTTGTGTCTAATGTGGTGTTGCACGAGGTTTTAGTCGGCTTTGTGATTCAGGTGAGTTTTCCTCATTGTACTTTTGAGTCGAAGGTACCAATGTCGGCCCCCTCGATTATGTATCCTGGTATATAAGATGTTGTTATGTTGTAGTTATATGTTAGATATGTATCCTGGTATATATGATGTGTTATGCGGCGTGATCTATAGATCTGCCTATTTGTCTGTTGACTGGTTATATGTTTATCTGATGCATATGTTAACATAGTGTGGTTGGGTTGAGACTGTACTGCTTTGTGATGCCAGTCAACAAACCCGAGGCAATCCAACCGGGAGGTTGCGTGACATGGCAATCCAACCGGGAGGTTGTGGGCCAAAGGTAATCCAACTGGGAGGTTGTGGACCCAGTATATAGTGTATATGGTAATCCAACAGGGAGGTTGTGGCCTAGGGTAATCCAACCGGGCGGTTGTGGACCCAGCATGCAATGTGTATTTTTTTTCTTGGTAGTGTGTGGTACTTTGGGGGAACTCACTATGCTTCGTGCTTACAGTTTGATTGTTATAGTTTCAAGTACTTCCGATGATCGGGGAAAAGCAAAGGCGTGAACATACACATCCTTCGATAAAATGTTTCTGGAAGATTTTGTGATATAATGATCTTGGGATATTTGTAGTTGATACTTGGTTTGATATGGGTTTTGTTTGAAAACGAGGATTTCTCTTTATTTAAAATTGAAAAATTTTACCATGATTTTGGGATGTTACAAGTTGGTTGATGGGTTTTGAGCACTATAACAATCCTATGGTGCACATACAACCCTAGATGCTTTGGATCTAAGTTTTCTCAAGTTATACATGCAATTTCATTTTATTCAAAGCATACACCTTAGCTAGCATGCATTTGAAGATATACAACATAAAAACTAGTTAGATGAATACCTCTTAGTTGTAGCTTGTAGTTTTTGGCCTTTCAAGAGCTTAGTACCTCAAGTGTGATACCTGTAATAAGTTACAAACACCAAAAGCAAATGGAGGCTTATGAGAGAGGTTAGGAATCACAAAAAAAATCGGCTAGGGTTTGCTTCTAGGAAGTGTTGGACGATTTTAGGGGGTTAGGGGTTACATTTATAGTGTAGAATTCCTAGGGTTTCTTCCATGTAAACCCTAATTCACCATGACTCTTCATATTTCATAGGCCCTTTGGACTACACCTTCATGGACTCTCATATAAGTTTAGTCCATCCCTAATCAGCATGGATCATTAGCCCAAACTACAAGTATTACTGATTTACCTAATCAGTCCCCGTAAATTTAATCTGTCTCTTTGATCACTAAATTAATTCCAAATTAATTTTTGATCAATACTTAATTAAATAATATGATTTCTTAATTAATATATTATTCATATAATATATTAATAAATCACAAATAACCACTTTCTCAAATGTCCATCCTATCAAATTGCTCCGGTGAAGGCAACCCAAAAGGACCATGCTACTATCGAGTCAAGTACATACCAATTATAGTTATGGGCTTAGACACCTAATTCGACAGTCTCCCACTTGGATAAGTCTAATAACTATAATTGCCAATGTAACTTCAAAATCCGATTAGCAATCGTAGCTCTCAAAAGCCGTTGTCGAACTTTGACCTAGTCAATGACGCATCCTTTAGATAAGGGATCATATAATCCTCTGTTCTTCAAGATATCGTGTGGAAAAAGACATGGAAAATAGTCATTCTTATTGTCCAGCAGTTTGTTTCCCGATTTCTGATTTGTTTGACATAGAACTTAATTGAACACATCAATTGAGTTCTGACCGGGCCCGGCACATAAGTCAAAACAAAATCATCAAGGGGCCCAAGATATCGCTTTTAATACTTTTAGGATAAAAGGAACAAATAAACTACGACTCATATGCTTGTACCAATTACTTGTTAAATTATACACAACAATACGTTTTATAACATCAAGTTACTGATGCGTTTTCATGCTATCAATGCACAACCAACTCGTAATCAACAACTCATATATCTTGGTTTGAAGACTATACGATATTATCGTCTCACAATCACCCGTGATAAATTCCATGAAGTGATTCATGTGAGCGCGGGTTTAATCCAATACTCAAATCTTATTTCAGGAGCACTCATGAACGTTGTAGCAAACTTTTGCTATGTCTAAACACCTTAGACAGTCTACAAACCAATTCATGACAGTCTAATTTCATAACCTACTTCCAAAGTATGATCGACTATGGATAGTTTGAATAATCATATTATTATGGAAGTCAAAACATGCGAAAAGTGAAACATAAAATAATCAATTGACAAAAGACAGTAAACTTTACTTATAAATAAAACCCATTTTATTTAATCATTAAACGTCAATTACATTTATTTATTACAAGTTTCTAACTGTCTATCTAATCACTAAAACTAATATCGTCCTTCAGCCCAATACTCCTAGCATGCTGTAAGTGCTTAACCCTACTCAGTCCCTTCGTAAGGGGATCTGTTGGGTTATCCTCTGACGATACCCTCGTCACTACGAGGAGTCCCTCTTCTACTCGATGTCTTATGAAGTGATATTTTCCGTCGATGTGTCTGGATCTGCCAGGATCCCTTGGTTCCTTGGTTAAGGCGACCGCACCCTCGTTGTCACAGAAAATCTCCATAGGCTCATTTACGGCTGGTACAACTCCAAGGTCTCCGATGAAGTTCTTTAGTCATATTGCCTCCTTCGACGCTTCGCTCGCTGCTATGTACTCTGATTCGCACGTTGAATCCGCTACAGTCTCCTGTTTGGAACTTTTCCATGTTACTGCTCCTCCATTTATGGTAAATACTCAACCCGACTAAGAGCAGAAATTATCTCTGTTGGTCTGAAAGCTGGCGTCACTATACCCTGTCACTCTCAAGTCATCACTCCCACGGAGGGTAAGGACCCAGTCCTTAGTCCTCCGCAGGTACTTAACAATGTTCTTTACTGCAATCCAGTGTGCTCTACCAGGATTCCCTTGATATCGGCTAATCATGCTCAAAGCAAAAGCCACATCAGGGTGAGTACATGTCATAGCATACATGATCGAGCCAACGGCAGAAGCATATGGTACTCGACTCATTTCTGCTACTTTGGCATCGGTACTCGGACTCTGAGCCTTACTCAGTTTAGTATTGCTCTGGATAGGCAATTCTCCTTTCTTGGAATTCTCCATGTTGAAACGTTTCAACACCTTGTCCAAGTAGGTACTTTGACTAAGTCCTATTAGTCTTTTACTCCTATTTCTCAATATCCTTATCCGTAGAATGTAAGTAGCTTCCCCGATGTCCTTCATAGCGAAACACTTCCCAAGCCAGGACTTAACATCCTGCAAGGTTGGAACATCGCTTCCTATGACTAATATGTCATCCACATACAATACCAGAAAGCTAACTATACTCCCACTAGCCTTGACATATACGCAGGACTCATCCTCGCTTCTCGAAAATCCAAACTCTTTGACTTTCTCATC